GGCTAGGGTCTGGAACCAACTTCCAAGGGAGGTGGTGCAGGCTCCTACCCTGGGGGTTTTTAAGAGGAGGTTAGATGAATACCTTGCTGCGGTCGTTTGACCCCAGTACTCTTTCCTGCCATGGCAAGGGGTCGGACTAGATGATCTTCTCAGGTCCCTTCCGACCCTAGAAACTATGAAACTATAACATGGAAGCCCTCCAAATCTGCACAATATCAAATCAAACAAAATCCAGGAGCCAATTTCCAATAACTGTGACACAAGACAGCTTTACCAATGTGCCCAGTTACATGTTCACATCAAGAAGAGGCTCAGCATGTTTCTACGGCCTGGATCCTGGGAACCGCAGGTGCTCAACACCTCTCATCATCAGCCATGAAAGTCCCATTTCAGCAAGCTGTTTGGCATGGGCAGGAACCCGTACAGAACAGCTTGCAGGATCAGCACTCAAGTATGTGTTAATTATGACATGTGATTAGCAGACATATAATTACACCAGGCACTATTAAGGTTTAGGATGTGCCATTACAAAAGCATCAAGATCTGAGCTTTTGTGACTTTTACCTACCCACCATTTAAAGTTACTAATGTAATTTTTACTATCTTAATTTCTGCTTTTACAGCTGAATCCCATTATATGCAAAGTGTAGTTAAATGTCTGTGGAGAAAACTGAAGCCTATTACTGGTAATTCACCAACGCATGGCTCTTAACGATCCAGCTCAACTCCTGTTGTCTCTGCAAAATACGCAGAATCATTTCATTACCAGAGGAAGCATTTACCTGGCCTTGCAAGCTGTCACCTGCTCAGGTTTATGCTATGCCACTCGCTAAGGATCATTTCATACGAGAATTAGTAGCATGAGAGCCTATAAGAATTGAAGTTATAAGACTACTCCTCCCCCTCTGATACACCAAACTCAGCAATCACTGGATGAGAGCCCTGGAAACCTTAGTGAGCTAGTATTTCAGACAAGATCCCTCTCTTTTAAAAGCTACAAGGTTTTCTTATAGTTCAACTCTGTAATTATATTTAATTTATTTAACAAAACTTTCTTTCCATATTCAGAGAAAAAATAGCTCTATCCTAAAAACTTAACACAGACATTTTTAAATAGGGATGGCAAACTACATACTGCTGTAGGGGTTGGGGGTAAGGAAGGAGCACAGCATTTTGAGCCAGGGGACACTGCTAAATAGTGCGGTCACTCACAGAAACCACAGGTTGTCTTGAGTGGTGGCAGTGGGTTGTTTTTTTGTTTTTTTGCGGGGGGGAGTTCATTAAGAATTTGTAAGATTCTTACAAAATTACATTTCAAATGGGTATTTTTTTACAGCCTCTTCAAAATAAACAGGAATTCAGTGCCTTCCAAATCAGGTCTAACCCAAGCATATAAGCTGATTATAGTTAAACACCACCCTCCTGCATGTTATTATACAAATGTATTAATTAGTTTGCATACTCTGCAAAGCAATGGAGATCAGAATGTATTTCACGCTGGCATAATTTGCAAAGGTAAAAAAGGAAGTTGCCTTTCTCTGCAGGCTTGTCTTGTTTTTGGTTTTAAAGTCTCTTGAGAAATGTTCCCTAAGACAATGAGCTCCTTTTTTCTAATTTACATTATTCTAAATAACGTGGGGAAAAGTGCCCTTCAGAGCTGAAGATCAGCCGCTAGAAAGCAGGGACAAGAACCAGATACTGCCTGTGGTGAGCTCCACAATCAGCACCATCCCCTGCCCTTGCAAACAGAAAGTCACCATGGCTGTTAACTGGTTTAATGAGAACTTCAAGGTTACACCCAGCGCCAGCAAGTTCACAGTCACATTAAGCACACAGGTAAGGCGTCTCCCCAAGCTGGCAGGGCCCTCTGCAACCTCTGCCAGGAGGGATGCGACTGCCCTGGACAAGCGCAGGGTGTGCTTGGGTTGCTCTGAACCTCCTCTCCACGGGGCATGTGGGGGGCGAGCATGCCGAAGGGGCCCGACCCTGCCAGGGCTAGCTGGGGCTGCCCCCCAAGTGCCTCACTTGCGCTTCCCCTGCCACACAACACGGGCCAGGCACCTGGAGGGACCCGCACCCCCATGCGCACCTCTGGGTCCCCGTCACGCCCTGCACTGCCCCGAGGCACCCCCAAAACCCCCATAATTTCATAGTTTCTAGGGTCAGAAGGGACCTGGATGGATCCTCAAGGCCGACCCCCTGCCCTGGGCAGGAACGAGTGCTGGGATTGTAATACCCCAGCCAGGTGCCAACCCACCTTGCCTCCCCTCTCCCCCTCCCACATGTCCCCCACCACCCCCAAAATAGCTCCCGTTTTGGGGGCCCTGTCACCTCCCCCATCCCCACACATGCCGCCCTATGCCCCCAAATACCTCCCCGTCTCTGGGGCCCCGTCACCGCCAGATACCCCATCACCCCCAAGTACTCCCAATCTCCCCCATCACCTCTGCAATCTCCCCACAAATACTCCCAATCTCCCCAACACCCCCCCCATCTCCTCC